ACAATGCAGTCTTACTTTGGGAAGTTGAACGAAGAGAATGTGAAGAATAATTTTGTCTTAATCTATGAATTATTGGATGGTTAGCGGCTCTATTATTTGTGCGTTATTTTTTTTAAAATTGGAGTTGGTTTTTTAAAATGATTGTATCGATTTCAGAGATATTAGATTTTGGTTATCCGCAGAATACAGATCCGGGCGTTCTAAAGACTTTCATCACCCAACAGGGTATTCGAACAGCGGTAAGCTTTAGTGACAGTTTATTACTCATTGTTTTAGTATTGATTTGTAGTAATATGCGAAAAGAAATGACATTGACGGTTCGGGAACTGAATTGTGAATTGTTATTTTGGATGGTTATCGTTATGGTTATTGGAAGATGTATTTGTTTGTTTGTTTTACAGGCTCAAGTGGTAGGTTGTTATGATTTGGAATGTTGAGTTAGTTGTGTGCATTGGTTTAGATTAGTATTTAGTTAGATATGTTATATGGCTGTTATTGTTGTCGTGACTGTGTTTCGAAGTGAATTGGATCGGGCGAGTTGGATGATGGTTTTGGAACGAAATGGTTGTGGTGATATTGTGTTGTAGAAGGATTTAGGAGTGTTATGTTGTAATGTAAATGATTAGTTATAAGTAGTATTGATTGATTGGATTGTTGATTTTGTGATCAATTAGTTTGCATCTGATTGGTGAACGAGATTCTATTTTGTGATATCGATATTATTTGTTGTTGTTGTTATGATTGTTATTATTGTTATGGTTATGATCAGGTAGTGAGAGCAATAATTTTGTTTTAGAGTAAAGAAGAACAATCGCAGATAACATCGCAGGTGACCGGGCAGATTGGTTGGAGACGAGAGGGTATTAAGTACAGACGTAATGAGCTCTTTTTGGATGTTATCGAGTATGTGAATCTTTTGATGTCACAGCAAGGTGAGCACGAGCTCTTTTTAGCTCTTATATTTGTGTATATTAATAGTAATAATGATATAATAATAAATAGGGCAAGTATTATCTGCGCATGTTGCTGGTAAAGTGGCAATGAAGTCGTATTTATCGGGAATGCCCGAATGTAAGTTTGGTATAAACGATAAGCTGACCATCGAAGGGAAGGGCCGATCGGGCACCGAGGACCCATCGAAGACGTGAGTGTTTATTTGTATTTGATGATGTAATATTTGATTGGTAACTAGAAAATAATTCAGTACACGTGCATCTGTAGCAATAGACGATTGCCAGTTCCATCAATGTGTAAAATTAACGAAATTCGACACGGAACACGCGATTAGCTTTATACCGCCGGATGGGGAATATGAATTGATGAGGTATACTTTATTATTATTTGTTGTTGTTGTTGTTAATTAATATTAATTGTTGTCAGATATCGAACGACCAAAGATATTCAGTTACCGTTCCGCGTGATACCGTTAGTGAGGGAGACGTCACGGAATAAAATGGAGGTGTGATATTAATATATTATTATTATTATTGTGGTAATGACTAGAAAAAGTAATTGGTGTGTGTGTTCAGGTGAAAGTAGTGGTCAAGTCAAACTTCAAGCCGTCTCTATTGGCTCAGAAAATTGAGGTACGCATTCCAACGCCACCGAATACAAGTGGTGTGCAGTTGATCTGTATGAAGGGGAAGGCGAAATATAAGGCGGGTGAGAACGCGATTGTGTGGAAGTAAGTATTTGTTTGTTTTGAGTTGAGTGTTCTCTTAAATTTGCTGTGTTGATATATAACTTGCGCTGATCAAGAATCAAACGTATGGGTGGCATGAAGGAGTCACAAATATCAGCCGAAATCGACATTCTAAGCACTGGATCGGCCGAGAAGAGAAAATGGAATCGGCCACCGGTATCGATGAATTTCGAGGTGCGTATTTTTTGTTGTTGTTGTGGATGTTATTATGAGTGTTATTGGTTTATTGATTTTATTGTGATCCTGTATGAATTTTAATGTTTGGTTGTATTATATTTGCGTTGCAGATCTGCCTGATTGATCTGATTTGTTGATAGTATTGTTATTGTTCTTGTCGTATGCGTTTAGGTGTTTGGGTTGATTCGTTGATCTAATCGTTTGGTTGATCTATTGATTCATTGATTCGTTGATCTATTCTTCGTTGATTCGTTTGGTTGATCTATT